CTTCAAACCTTATGTGGGTGAAAGCGAAAGTGTACGCAGTGTGACGTACAGCCCAAAAATCATTTTACAAATCGAAATGAACCCAGGACAATATACACATAAATTAAAACTCAAAACGGAGATTGTACTGAATTTTATACAATCTCAACAAAACCATGGATGAAAGCGAAAATGTACGCGGTGTGACGTACAGCCCAAAATCCTTTTACAAATCGAAACGAACCCAGAACAATATACACATAACATAAATTAAAACTCAAAACAGAGATTGTACAAAAAACTATGGGTAAAAGCGAAAGTGTACGCAGTGTGACGTACAGCCCAAAATCCTTTTACAAATCGAAAATTCAATGCAAAAACACTACGCTAACAAAGTTTAAAAGTATATATGCAACATCGTTGCATATTAAAAACAAATAGTTCTTAACAAAATTTAATTTTTATTTTTTTTTTATGTTATAATGTTTGGCAATCTTTGAATGTAGAAAAAAAGCCAAATTGCTTCTAGATTAGTAAAACTAAATTCAAAATAATCAAATTAATTCTAGATTTACTTTATGCCCACACATCTTTAATATTTTTTTTATAATGTTTGGCAATCTTTGAATGTAGATAGATAAAAAGCCAAATTGCTTCTAGATTAGTAAAACTAAATTCAAAATAATCAAATTAATTCTAGATTTGTAAATTTCAATAACTTGTAAATATTTAATAAGATTACAAACGAATTTAAACTAATAATATAAATAAAATTTATAAAAACGAAGTGATTTTTTCATGAAACTCTCAGACCGTGCTAATATTTTTTCTTTGACGTAATTACGAAGGTTTTTGTTTAGCAAAAACATTTTTTTTAAAAAAAAAATAAAAAATAAAAAGGTATATAATTTTGTTTTATCAAATATTTTAAAAAAAGTAAGTAATTTAAAAATTATTTTTTACAAAGATGTCGAATGAAAATAATAATAATCTCGATGAACAAACAATTGAAAATGAACAAAAAAAATATCAAAAAATATCATTGTTAGTGAAGAAGTGATTGAAAATATTATCATTGAAAATATTTCAATTCTGATCAAAATTAAAAAAAATTTGTTGGCTCAAGTTTACGAAAAATTAAGTTATAAAACAGAAGAGGATGTAAATATTTTTACCAAAGAAAAAAATATCACGATGATGTGATTAATGGTTGGGTTAATGAGTATGGTTTTGATAAAACGTTTTTATTTGAAAATGCATATACAGGCCTTATTAATAGAGATGATATTTTTTAAATTTTTTTTTTATATTTTGTTGAAAATGAAAATGAAAATTTTTATATTGAGATTACCTATAATTTTACAATCGATATTAAAAATTTAATTAACGAAATTTTTTTTGTTGTTTTAAAAAAATAAAAATTTAGTGTCTTTTGTTGTTTCTTTCAGCTATAATGAAGATAAAAAAAGTGAATTACAAGAATTAATTGATTCTGGTTCTATCACATTTAATTATGATATCAGTTGTGATACATATACGAAAGATGTTAACCAACACGAAATGGTAATAGATGGATGGATTAAAGACTATGGTAAACTACCAAACGGTTTCAAGTCTAAAATTGAAAATATGCGTACATCAAGTTCTGCAAAAAAATTTAGTAAACGAGTCGGCATAGCTGACTGCGGTTCAAGAAAATTTAAAGTAGTTCTCTTATGTTTTAATAAACCTGATGATAATGGTGAAAGAGCATATAGTGAATTGACAGCAATTCTCTGGTTAAACTCGGATGATGAAGAAGCAAGAAAAAAAATTTTTGCAAATACAGAAGAAATTGCAGGTTTAATTATTGCAAAAGGCAATAACCAATATGTTTTAGAATAATTTTTTTTAAAAATTTATATTTTATTTTTTAAATTTTATTTAATAATATTTTAAAAAATATTTTTTTAATAAAAAATAAATAAATTAAAGTGAAATATTACGTCGTTTTAACTCTATTGTTACATTTTGATACAAATTTTTTAACAACTCGTCACTATAAATGCTAAACGGATTAACTTGCGATGTTGATTTTGGTTTAGCTTTTGTAAATTTTGATTTAGCTTTTGCAGATTTTGATTTAGCCTTTGTAGTTGGTTTTGTTCGAGGAACTTTATGATGTATCGACAAATGATTAAAAGCGAGAGTTATTTCTTTAAACTTTTCTTCATATTCTCTTCGTGTTTTTTCAGATAACCAAAATGTTTTATCAGGATGATACTTCAAACATAATTTTCTGTATTGTTTCTTGATATCATCAAGAGTGTCAGTTTTTTTTACGTTTAAAATTTTATAATAATTTAACATTTTATTAAAAAAAAAAAAATAAAATCAAATCAGATGTTTAAATAATTTTACAAATCATATGAATCTATCAAATCATATAATTTTTGTTTTAATGGTTCAGATAAAACTTTATCTTTAACTATATCTTTTCTTTTTTCTACTAAAAATTGTTCATCATCTTGATTCTCTTCGATTTCTAGCATATCTGAAAAATATGTATAAAACATAACACGTTGTCTTTGCAGATATAATTTTTGATCAGGGGATAAATTCGAATCGTTAATTAAATTATAAATTTCTCCTTCAACTTTTAAAAATCCTCCTAAAAAATGTTGAATGGTACTAGAAATAATCTTATTATAGATGTCCATAAACACCGGATCTAGTTCGGGTTGTTTTGGTTGCTGAGGAGGTTGCTGAGAAGGTTGTTGAGGAATCTGATGCAAATAAGGTTGAACCTGTCTGATAAAATCATAGAGAAAAGCGATATTGTCATCAATATCTTTTGCTAAAACCCTATGATCGTTAACCAAAACTTCAAAATTACATCGTGCACAATCATCTGAAACTATAGATCCCACAAATATTAAAAGAAAAAAAAATAAAATATTTTTACACATTTTGTTTTTTTTTTAAAAAAAAATTAATTCTCGTTATTTATATAAATAGAAGAAATATCTAAAAATAGAAAATTAATGGATTTAAAAAAAATACATCAAATTTTTTTTGACGAAAAAAAATGCATCAAATTTTTATTTGAAAAAAATATTTTAAAACCAAAAACTAATTGCGAAACATGTAATTCTGAAACTAAATGAATTGATAAAATTTATAAATGTAAAAATAACATTTGTAACACAACCGTTACAATTTTCAAAGAAAGTATTTTTGCAAACTGCAACATTAAATGTTGTGATATTTTATTAATTGGATATTTTTGGCTATGTAAATTGAATTATATTTCCATAAGCATAATGACAAATCACTCTTCAAAATCACTAAAAAAATTCATAGATTTTTTTCATTATAGAGCAATAAATAGCTTAACCGCAAATGATTTTATCATTGGTGGAAAAAATATCATCTGCGAAATTGATGAGAGTAAATTTAAAAAATACGAAGATTTTTGGATTGTTGGAGGTGTTGAACGTACCGAAAAGAAAAAATGCTTTTTTGTACTCACAGATAATCGTGAAGCAATGACCTTAAAACGTATTATAAAACAACATGTCAAAGAACGTTCTATAATACATACAGATAAATGGCACGGATATTCACATCTTGAATCGTTAAACATGAAACATCGTAGAGTAAACCACTCCAAAAATAGAATAGAAAAAGGAACCGGTGTACACACAAACAATATCGAAGGATTATGGAACGGAGTAAAATTAAATATTAAATCTCGAAATCGTAACCGAAATCTCATTGAAAAACACTTGAAAGAATTTATATGGCGCAGAAAACATAGAGACAACTTATTTAACGTGTTTATCAATTGTTTAATCTAGTTTTATTTATATTCATATACGAACAGATATTTAAAGTTATAATTTTTGACCAATCCACCAAAATGCTCTATATACAAACATTCATTATTTATAATTTTATATAGATTACGAATAATAACCTTAACAAAATCCACCTCAACAAATCGACAAAACTCATATCCAACTGATCTTTTTTCTTCACAAATTTCACCAATTAGATTTTGATATTTTTCTGTTAAAAAATACTCTGTATCACACAATGAACAAACATTATTATTCTTACTAATATTATAAAGATTAAAAAGATTATCACGAACAAAACTAACAAACTCTTTGTATACTTTAAATTTATAATATTTGGAATCCAACTTATACTGACAATAACGAATTAAAATATCAAATTTAAAATGCATTCGACCGAGATTTTGATTTTTTTGACCAAAATTTCGTTTACAGGCACATAATTTTTTTACATTTTTAACAAAAATCGATTTGTGAGTTTTATATTTTGTCGCACGAGAATTTGGCCCCTGAAATTCAAGATGCTCATTAAGCTGTTTCCAATATTCATGATTATCAAGAATCTTTTTTCATTCCTTAGATACCAAAGACGCATTTTGAAATTCATAAGGATCTTTTATATAGTTAAAAACCAAGCTGATTGGATAAATTTCTGTTTTTGGTTTTTTTACAGAAGAGAAATCGATAATTGAATTGATTTTTCGTTTCATTTTTACCAAATTAATAAAAATAATTTTTTTTCTTTTATTTCGCCTCTGCGCCAGCGGGCGTTTCTGTCCTCGCAATTGCTTATGAATGGTGGTGTAAAATATAAGCAAGATCAGCACTAACGATGTTAGTTTTTGGTTGGGTCCCCCACCCCCAAATGTCAACAAACATCACATGTCGATCTTGCAACTTGACAACTTTAACTTGTTACATTGTTATAAAATATTTAATATTTATTGAAATAAAAAACCAAATATGAGAAAAATTACAAAAAATAATCTTTTATAGTATTTTTATGTTCTGGTAAACATAATTTAACGAATGGTTTCTTTGATCCGAGATACACTAAACGATCAGCCTCTTCATTCCCAAAAATACCCGAATGACCTTTCACATGTTTGAAATATATTTTTCCATCACGTTCTTTAATTAAATCATTAAACCTGTTCACTAGATCAAAATTTACTTTAGGTTTTTTAACACCTTTTGAATTAATAACGTATAAACTATCTTAGGCATCCTGGAATTATATCATAAATAATTCAAATAAATGAATCACAATTATGAAAACCAGTCGGGAATCACACCACCATTCATGAAGTCGCCGAGTTAGAAAAAAATGAGAGTTAGTAAAAATATCATAATGAAAATTATTTACAGAGGTTGTGAATCTCTCTCTCACCTGATTGGTTGAAAGACGAAGTTGGATTGAGAAGAGGGAAGGAAGAATGCTGAGGTTTATATAGTTGTCAAAAGCTAAGCCACCCGAATCAAAGATGTATTATTGAAGGATTATTCGGTGAAATGTCACTGAATAATCGATAAAAAGTTATATAAATGATGAAAATGAGACTTGCTAAAAAAAAATAAAATAAAAATGAATATAAAATTTGTAAACTATCAAAAATTTGATCACAACATGATCAGAATCATAGAATATTCTGATATTATTAAATTTTACAACATGTTTGAAAAATCGACACGATTTTACAGCAAATTTTTTGAAAGATCATTTGATAAAGAAAAACTGGTGCAATATGTTAAAACAAAATCTAACATGTATAATTTTGCCAATAGTAATTTTACATATCATCTAAAACTAGAAATCGTCGATATAAACAAAAATTTGATATTTTTAATATTAACAGAAGTGGTGGCGAATAGAAATGATGTTGTTAGATTTACCGTCGAACATGTTTTTTCTACATAAAATTTATAATAAAGGTTTTACAATTTTTACTAAATTACCCAAAAAAACTCTCTTATCACATTTAGCATGACAATCGTCACATAACACATGTCCATGGGTGTATTGGTGAATATTAGAGAGAGTTAAAATTGGTAAAATAATGTTGTTTTTGTCACAAGTGGGAATGCCGCAACAATTATGAGTAACGAAAGACGGGTTACAAAATCTCATATTTTTACATCTCTCACATTCATCTTTTCCAATAAGTTCTATATCGCCCGCATATTTTTTGAACATCAATTCCTTCGAATTTGGAGCGTAGCAAAAATATCTACCGGTTGTTGATCTATATAGTACCTTTTTAAAACCGGTCTTAACACATTTTATATTTTTCATTTTACAACTCGTACATTCCAATTTGCTGTCACAATCGATCCTTAGAGCTTTACAATTTTCACATCTGTTATACATTTTGTCAAATAAAACATATTTGCGTTTCTTTGTGCGTAAAATTGTTTCAAATTTGATAAATTCTCTGTTAATCGTGTGATGTCCATTTCGAAAAACATAAGGGTGGGTTGGATTGGTAAACAAAAATTGATAATTCATAGGATCAAACTCCTGGCGAGTATAGATAGCACGTAATTTTTTGCATGATCGACTCAAACGATATTGATCTTTTTCCTCTCTTAAGGTTTTAAAGATCAAAAATAAAATCTCATTTGAGAATATTAATAACGATAACGAAGAGGAAGTCATATTTGAACAAAATATTTTTTATTCGGTACTAAACACGTACTGAATAAAATGAATAAAATTTATTAAGATAAATAAATAAATATTTTATATACAGAATACTAATTTTACGTAAAACATTCGGTTATTTTTTTCTGTCGTTTATTATGGGGGGAAATAGGAGAAGATGAAAGGTCTAACGAATGTTTTTTGTTTTCTGATAATGAGAAATAATTTGTCACTAAAAGTTGTTTCTTATTTTTATCCACTTCGTAGATTTCTTTTATCGTTTCTAAAGCTTGTTTGGTATCACACGAAAGAAGCGATGCACAGATATCGGCGAGACTGTTAAAATAGTACATGATATCGATTATTTTATCTGAGGTATATTCTTTCGTCAAACACATTTTCTGAGAAATATCTATTTTTTTTTGCATATGATACAAAATGTAGTATTCGAAGCGACCAGGAACCATTTTTTTGCCGGTTTTTTCATATCGTTCAGCAAAATTAAGGACCATGGTATTTCCTTTTTTGGTTTTTTTCTCAAATGTTGTATCGTCGAAAGTTTGTTTTTTTGATCTGTGCTCATTTATGAATTCACGAAGAGTAACTATTTTTTTCCTATGAGTTGGATCATATTTCGCCGTTAATTTGAATAGATCTAGATTTAACATGGGCGCGGAAGTGTATTTAGAAATCACATCTCGAGCTATTTCTTTTGGCGATTTTAATACCAAATCCGATAATTGTTTTTGTTCATTAAATCCTAAACATGACCAAATAAGATCTGTGGCAACCGTCTTATAGAATAGAGATACATTACGTTTTACGATTTTTAAACCTTTTATCAAAAGTTTTGGATTCGTAAATTCAGGAGCATTTTCATGAACTATGCCGCCATATTGCTTTTTGTGGAGAAAAAGAGAAGGATGAAGAACTTTTTCATACGCCATTTTCATAAACGGAAACCCTGTTTCTTGTTCCATAAAAGAGTTGACAACAGGCGTAATCTGTTTTGTGAATTCTATGGATTTTTTTATAGATTCCGAATAATGGAGTTGTTTATCGTGAGAATAAAGAGAGTCGATTTCAGAGAAATGAGTTTCTGGAATCGTAAAGAAGACCGAATCGGTATCACCATATATAATATTGCATTGTTTCGATTCCAAGAAAGTGATTACTTTTTTAATGGTTTCACGTGAAAATGCCGTGACAGATGAAGCGATCGTCTTTCGATAGAAAGGAGAAAAGAGGTAACCAGTTTCACCATAAACAGAGTTGGCCGAAATTTTTAACGCGTTTGATCTTGATGTAAAATATGATAGTTTTACAGGATCATTTGCATATATTTTCATAGATTTTTTAGCTTCGGCCCGCGCTTCCAATAGTTTTTTACATATTAGAGGCATCAAACCCATTTTATTTTCGCAATTATGATGAGATTTAAATTGTGTTATAATCTGGTCATTATCGTAAATCGTATTCACAGAAGGATCCCTTGTTAAAACGGGTATTTCCGTTTCGAGAGATATATTCATCGTGATAATGGAATTTGGATACATTGACGTGAAATCGAGATCGGGAACTGGGCGATTTTTTTCATTTTTTCGTGGAACAAGAACCAAACCTCCCTGATATTTTTTTCCAATTTCAACCACCCCCTTACGATTCATCGAAATTAAAATGTTGCGACGAGAAGCATATCGTCCATAAAGATTACGAACCAAACATCCAACCCCATTCATAAAAACATTTGAAATCGTTGTACATGATAATGATGCAAGTTGAAAATAATCTTGTAAAATATTTCGTTTTATCATCAATTCCTGACATCGAAGCGAATCAGTCGCACAGTAATATATGATATCCGCAGCATAATGTTCAAGTTGATTTTCAGAGACCAAAAAATGATTCATGCATGATTCGTAGTCAACATCTTGCAAAGACACCAACTGTGAAGAAAAATCCTGAATTTTTGATAGGTTGTCCTTGAATTTTATCACATTCACGTAGATAAACATCGATTTGTAATCCGATTTAGTGGGAAGATACGGTAAATCGATCTTTCCTTGCAAACCACAACGCACAAGAACATCATTAAGAGTATTTTTAAGCTCGGTTGGAAATGTTTTTTTAGCCCAGACCAAAAGATCTAAGAATACAGTACCAGAGATATAATAATATTCACAGATCATTTTTTCAGTAGGATTAACTTTTATCGAACGATTGTTAATATTAATCCCCGCAAATTCATATTTTCTCATGACCTCATCCAGATCTCGTTCTTTAAATCGAACCTCAGTCTCACGAATATTTATCATAACATCATCAGTCGTTCCAAGAAGAATATTATTAAATTGTTTCGTTATATTATATTGTTCCACTTTTGATAATATAAATTTCCAATCGTAACCTCCAGTGTTATAGCCAAATTCAAAATCAGGTTTAAAATTATGAAAAATTCTCGCAAAATTCAACAGAAGTGAAATTTCCGAATCACATATTATAAAATGAAAATCAGAAGAGGGGCAATCGGAATATTTAGAAAAAAATAATTGTTGATTGATCGGTAAAGTTGTGATGCAGTAGCGTCGAAATGGTGTTTGTTCAAAGATCCAATAGAAATCCATCTGAATCGCGTACACGTAAGATGTAGGTTCATGACCGAAAGGAAAAAAACCGGGACCTCGAACGTCTGATGATTCGATATCCCAAGATAACGATAATAAACGAGGTAATGAAACACGAGAAGAAACTTTTTCTATGTCTGACAGGGTCAATAGCATATTATCAATCACATTTTTGTTATTTTTGAGTTTATACCAGCCGACAAGCTCAAAATCATTTTCTCGCGCAACCTTTCGATAATAACATGAAAGATCGTCCGAATAAATGTCGTATAACTCCCACCAATCATCTTTTTCGATATTATTGTTATTATCGTCAAGAATAAATTTTAACTTGGAGTCAATCTTATATTTTATCTTTTTCAGAGCATTTTGTCGTTCCGTATGATTCAAGAAATACACACGCATGAAATCAAACTTTACTCCCGAATCAAATGGCTGAACAGATTTGAGTATCTCATAGTGGCTAGGAAATATTTCTTTATCAGCCAAATCATTGAGGTAAAACGAAAAATTATGTGTGTTATCGAGTTTAATGTCAAAAAATGGATAACCAACATCTAAATTGAGATTCAACTTGGTGCCATTTTCATGAACAGCATTGATCAATAATATATATATATTTTTTTTTGTAAACGAATCTGTCGCGTTGTAGATAAAAAAATATGAAGAATCTGATTGGATAATAGAATGTTGACGTGTGATATTCATTTTGAAGACATATGAATAAAATTTTAGTTGGTGCAAAAAGCACTAACTAAATAAATACAACCTAAAAGAATAAAAAAAGAATAAGAGAATAAAAAAATAAAGATTTATCGAAGATTTATTGAAAATTTATCGATTCAAACCAAAAAAAATATTAATTAAAATAAGATTTTAAAATATTTTTATATTCGTTTTTATCACAATCAGTTAATATTTTAATATGCTCAGGATAAAGCCTGTCAATATGCTGTTCGTAGAAATCACGAATTTTATAAAGATATTCGCAATCAACTTTCTCGTAAATACGCTTCTGTTGGAAACGAATCTTTTGACGATCAATCATCGTTTTCTTTTCACAATTAAGATAAAAGATTTTTTCAACATTTTTAATTGAAGAGATACCGTCACGCACTTCTTTGAAATATTCTAAGAAATCAACATCTGTGATATTAGCGAGGGTGAAAATTTCTGTATCGATATGTGTACGATCAAGAATTATGTAATCATAATCTGATAATCTGTTAATCTCTTTTACTTTTTTCTTATAATAATTGAGAATAACATATTGAAAAAATGTAGCATTATTTTCAACATCCTTATAAAAGAGTTTAAGCTCGCGTTCAATATCAAGAGATGCTTCGACATATTGAAGAACCGTATATTTTTGTGATCGAAGATATTCAGCTAATTTATCCGAACATGTGGTTTTACCGACGGCTATTGGTCCAGTAAAAATAATAATTTTTGGCTGTTCGGTTTTAGATTTCTTGCTGACAACTTTGATTTGTTCCGGATATTTACGTTTTAACCGTCTCAAGGTTTCTTGTTCAATTTTTCTACCATATTCAGGTTCAAATTCTTTTTCAACTTGAAGATTTATTGTTTCGTAATCATTTTGAAAACGAGAACGTTCTTCTTGCGATGAGAAAGAGTCAGTTTTTTTATATCTATTATCATGTAAAATATTTTTTAATTTATTCATATCAGATTCTAAATTTGCAAAATAAGTTACAATTTTCTTGTTCATGATGATTGATTAAAAAAAAGATAGACACGTAATCAAAAAACTATTCGGTCAAAAAATTGACTGAATAGTTAATAAGGACTATAACGTTTTCTGATTACAATTTTTTTAATGTGAACATTCTGACTTCTAACTTCATTATAAACAAAATTTTCAGCCGAAAAATCAAAAAGTTCTAACTGAGGTTGATAAAAATCTTCTTTGCAAAATTCTTTGATAATGTTACAAATCTCGGTTTCATTACAAATTTTAATAAATTGTTCAGACGAATCGATCCATTTGTTCGCCTTATGCGTAACAAAATTTTTAGTTTTCATCTTTTTCTCGTTATACACGATGAATCCGATAGGATTAGGATAGCGAGAAATTGACGATTCAAAATCTTTCACGATATTGATTGAAATTGGAGATTCAACATTCTTGCATTGAATCAGAATAGTATGTTTCTTGTAAGTAGCGATAATATCAATACCACCATCACCCTGGTTCACTTTTATTTCGTTGGCCAAAATCATATTCGCTTCGAGTAATCTTCGAACAGCACCTTCAAAATCATGCCCAGATCTGTAATTGGAGATCTGAAATGTGTAAAATCATATTAGCAAAAGATTCCTATTCACCATCGTTTGCAGAAGACCTAAGTTCTTTCAGTTTCTCCCAAACTAATAGAGATATTCATCATCACCATCAAAAGAGATGAATTCATAAATATTTCCTAATTCGGTATGGCAGCGTCACTTCAGAATCTCACGTATGCTAAGTAAAATGACAAGCATCTTACCTTTTTTTCAGAGGTTTCGAGAACAACGTTAGTAGTTGTCATGATTATGTAATTAAAAATCTATTCTGTACTATTGTACGGAATAGATTAGATTTTATTGAACAACGTAACCATTAAGATTTCCAGTAATTTTATTATGAGCTAATTTAAATTCGATTGCTTGTTGTTTTGCTTGCTCATTTGTTCGTTTTTTAGTAATGTAAAACCATTTTGTTTTATGTTTTTTATTTACAAAATAATGAAAACTCCAACTTTCTCGTTTTTTATAATAATAAATTCCATTATAACCAGAAGAATTATTTTTTCTTAACTTGCGATTTAATTGGTTTTCTCTCGGTGTAGTTTCTCTAAGATTACATTTGCGATTGTCAAGTCCATTGCGATTGATATGATCTATCATTTTCCATTCTGGATAAATCAATCTATGAAATTTTTTTATTGTTTTTTTTATATTTGTAAGAATATAATACGTGTTTCCATGCTTCCAAGAATACCACGTATATTTTTGAATCAAATTAAAATTATTGATATCAGCTAAAAATGTCAAATCTGAATTTGATACTTTGACCTCTAAATAGAGTTTGAAATCGATTTTGATAAGACGATATTCGTTCAGTTTTCGTCTTGGATTATCAAAATTTTTATACTTTTCCCATGTTGTGCTTGTTTCAAAATTTTTGAATTTTTCTTGCCAAACAGAAGACATTTACACAAATAAAAATCTGTTCGGTATGTTAACATACAGAACAGAAATTTAATAAATTTATTAAAATAAAAAAAAAAATAAATATATATTGATAAATAATCGAATTAAAATGATTAAAAATTATGCATCAGAAGAAGAACTGTCGATTGGGGATGTGTTGTCAATTCCGTTTGGAATAACGGGTTCAGGTGATTTTACTTTATCGGAAATTTCTTCAGAAGGAGAAATTTTACGTTTTTTTTGACGATTGATGTTTCTAAATTTTTTAGATATGATTTCGAGTATAGATGGAAGAAAGAGAGATAGAGTGTCGGTTAATTTGTATTTAGAAAGATCTTTCGGATCTACAAAAATCCATTCGTCATGCTTATCGGGTTCAGTTCGAATTGGAATCTGATCATCAATATAGGTATAGTATACCGCGCATCGACATAAACATTCTTTTCCATCCGGAAAAACTCTAAACCTCTCATTTATTCCAACATAAAATAATTCTCCTATTGTTATTCCAGTTTCTTCCTCCATTTCACGTCTCGCGCATTCGTCATACGTCTCATCTCTTTTTTTTCCACCTGTTGGCACATGATAATATCCAAAATAATCTTTATTAGGATTGATTCTTTTGCTGATTGAAATTTGTTTTTTTGAAGTTATCGGAACGATCAAAGAAAATTCTCGACTGTCGATATCGTAGGATGTAATCGTTTCTTTATATTGTTTTTTCAAATTTGATTGAATAACAAGTTGAGATTTGATAGCATTTTTCGTTTCTTTAACAGGAATGCCATATTTTTCCACCAAGGTAAGATGAGATAATGTCACAAGATATTTTTCTTCAAGCTCACGAGCAATCGAATAATTGCTAAGAAGTAATCTATATTCTGATTCCATTTTTACAAAAAAAGATGAACAGAAAATTTTCTGTTCGGTATATTTATACTGAACAGAATAAAAAAATATACAAAAAAAAAATAAAATAAGTAAAATATTTAAATAATAATTTCGTTATCACTATCATCCATTCGCAATTCGTTATCAGACCAAAAGATATATTCATTTTTTACTTTTCCAGATTGGGATGAGATGTATTTTGAAGAATATTTTTCAATCACATCATCAAAAATTCCTTTGTTTTTACGAAATTTTTGAGATTCTTCAGTTATCGAAGATAATGTCACAGATTCGAAAGATTCGACAGATTCGTTAGATTCGGAATCAAAATCATCATTGATAGATTTTTTACAACATTTGCAAAACTTTATCTTTCGAAAATGATTACAATGTGGACAGTAATATAGAATAGGCGCAGAAGATGATCTGAAATATGGACGTATTTCGGAATAATTTATCCGATTTTTAATACGTGAACTTTTACGAATTAAGATGGGTTTATTTTTTATCGAGATATGTGTTGTGAAAAAATTATATTGATATCGTGGATGTTTTATTTGTTGAAGATTATTTCGAATTCGCGTCATTTTATTTTTTTTACACAGTTAAATTTCTAATCGGTACAAATGTACTGATCAGATTTGTTTATTTAATAATAATAAAAATATAAAATAATTGATGAATTCAAAAAAAAAAGAAAATAAAATAAAATATGAAAATAATTGATAAATTAAGATAAATTTAATTTGTTTTCCTTTTTTTGTTATTTTTTATTTTTCTCTCATAACGCTCTAACTTATCGAGAGCGATTTTTGCACCAGTTTTAGAACCTTGTAACACGGTAGTTCGCCATTCTTGGATTTCATCGAACGATTCATGATCTTTATCTTTAGGAAGAATTCTTTCAATTTTAAAAAAAGCATTTTTTCTCGCTTCATAATAATTCTTCAAATCTTCTATAAATTTAACACGATCCACAAGAAGAGGAAACGCCTCAACATACGCATCTTCATCAACCTCAGAATTGAGTTGCCAGTTTGTCAATTCAAGATAATAATTGTAATCTTTTGTAATCGTTATCACAGTTGTGGAGAGATTTTCAATTTGATCTAATGTTCGTTTGACTGGAACAGAAGTAGAAGGAGAAAGAGAAGGAGAAGAAGACATATTTAAAAATTGTTACACAGTTAAATTTCTGATTGGTGCAAAAGCACTAATCAGAATATTGGTTTAATAAAAATGATAATAAAAATAACATGAAAACGAAAAAAAATTTTAAACAATTTTTAAAGGAATTTTTCTTTTTAATTATTTGTAAAATTTTCTCTATGACTTCAAAAGAGTCAAGATCCGACGTGTTAATTTCTTTTGAAACCTTTTTTGAACAATTAATTAAAGGTTTAGAGACAATATCACGTGTAATGATGTCATATAAAATATTTTGAGGATTTTCTTCATTTAATTGGTTCACGCGTCTACCAAGACGCGTCTCAAAATCAGCCGATAACAAAATTTTAAATTCCGCATCGGGAAGAATATTAGTTGATACGTCTCGTCCAACTACAACAAATCCTTTTTTTTTCGTTAATTTCTTAATTTCTTGATTGATTAACGTTCGTATTTCTTCATCTTTTGATAGTTCAGACGCCTTTTGAGAAATATCGAGGGAAGAAAATGCGCTTGAATTGGAACAGTCAATTAAATTATCGTATGTGTGTTGATTAAAATTTGTAGAATTTATATTGTAGTAAGCTAAATAACGATAAAATAAACCAGAATCGATAAATTTAAAATTTAATCGTTTTGCCAAAGAATAACCGATAGAAGTTTTTCCAGAAGCGGTCAGACCATCAATAGCAATATTGAACGGCATCATTATTGAATAAATAATGAACTAATCGGTCATTCGTTTGACAGATTAGAAAAATATATACTTATTCAGGAATTTCATAAATTGTTGGTAAAATATGCTTTCGATATAATAAAGTAGAAAAATATAACAAAAGTTGAATTTTTTCCACAGAATCAATTCGTGTCAAATCAAATTTTAGATTATAAAGATTTGAAATATTTCGTAGATGAATATAATATTTTTCTTTAAACGATTGCGCTAATTTAAAATTATTATGATTTTTTAAGAATACAAAATCGTAATCATTCACCAAAACGCGCAAGCATAACGAAGACATTTTACGGATTTATTTTTCCGATTGGTGCAAATGGCACTAATCAGATATATATTTATTTTTTATATAATAAAAAAAAATAAAAATAATAATATATAGAATAGAAAAATTAACAACATTTGATAGAAAAATTTTGAACATCTTGTTCGTTTTTATATAACGTCACGAATTCATCATTATCTACAACACCCAAACACTCATGTTCAATGTTATTAATATCTGACGTATAGAATTTACATTTTTTGAATTGTGTAGGTGTGCCATTCTTATTTTGTTGACCAGAAGGATATGTGTATCCACATATATAAACACATCGACATTGTGATGATATTTTTGCACATGCCGCACAACATTCATGCGAATAAGAATTGTAACAATTCCAACAAGATCCACCATTAAGACCGTAGATATATTGGTGTTT